TTATCCTACCTCAAGAAAATCACGACAAAAAAAGTGTTCGACAAAAATGTTATCTTATGTGAACTTGCGATTTCAGACAATTCATATGATCTTTCTACTCGTTTTCTGAAGAGAACGTAAATTGTGTGCAGTTGTTAATTATACTTTATAAAAAATAATGCAAATTATAAAATAAACCATCCGCGACAACAGATTTTGATATTGAATACGATGTATGGCTGCTTGCTACTGGGATACATTTCTATTATTTAACATTAAAAACCATGTTGATTTTAAATAAATTTCGTCGAATAGAGTTATTTTCCGCAGTGTTTGGAGATTAACATTCTATATTGTGGAGATAATCTAGGAAGAAACAATAGTATTTCAGAAAGTTTTCTATAAAAGGGTGAATGAAGACTAAATATAAAAAGGTGTTTATTTTGAAAAATCGATTTGAGTTGCATGTGTATAAAGTATTACAAACAATGTGATAATCCAAGGAGAAATTAATCAGGTTAATCACAAATAAAACAAAACATGTATCACAACTTGTTTGTAATGTGAAATCCGTGAGAAAGTAGAAAGGACTGCTTTATATTAATTAACAATTAATCTTTAAAAAGTGCATTCAGAGTCGGAGATTTGGAGAAAAATCGTCTCCACTTGTAGATGTTACTCTTCTATGCTATCAAAACGCAGTAAACAAGGAGGTAGAGAAAAGTTCAGAAGCAGAGAAGACTTTGTAAATCGAGATCGGCCGGATGTGAACCATAAAGTCACAAGTTGTTCCTAAAGTTAACGGGTCTCGATTTGAGAGATTTGTTCCGCAAATTTTTTCTAATTGTAACTTCCAGGTGGATTAAGTGTAAGACATCGCGTTATTGGGAGCAGCCCACATTTTGCACAAAGTATTGTAGAAGCTTCAAACGACAACGACATTGACAAACGAAAGCGACAATTGATGTTGACAACTGTCATTGAATATGCTCCTTAGGAATATGATTACAGCTTAGAATAGATTTTATATTTTACCATTTTATAGTTGTTTTTTTTCAGTAAGATCACCCGCTCTTAAGAATCCATCGCTCTAGGCGCCTATTCTTGGCTCTCTACGCGCACTTCTTGAACATACGCAAGAGGATTCTTATTTTACTAAACCGACCGTAAAGCAAACGTGACATCGACTACATAATTTAGGAAAAAGCTTATCGAATAACTTTGATTTGACAATTCATCGAGTTCTTCTCTCGTTCTAACTTGGGTCTTTTGAAAATTTTTCAACTTTACATGCTATAATTTTTGGATTTGGGCATTCCTTGACGAATTGAGGCTAATTTACACTAGCTTAAATTTTGAAGTAATATTGTTTTGAATTTGACATCCTGGATAATTAGAAAGTTGGGAACAATATTTAATGGTAATAATCAATTGAGTTGAATCTTAGGATTTCTCCTAAATAATTTTCGTGCTAATAACGTGTACTGTACTTCCTCTAAAATTATACCTACGGGTGTCAAATGTGTATGTTATTCTGAAGAAACGTATGGTTATTAAAGTAATATGACCCTGAAAAACGTAAAAATACTTGTATGATTATTAACTGGTATCTGTTCAATAGCAGCTTTCACTTATCCTACGAATGTGGTACTATCATTGGTTTACTCTGCTATGTATATAATTGAAATTTGAAACATTTTACATTATGAAAATTGAACTGGTTTATTCTTTTTAGTATCTTCTGCTTTTAGAATACATATTCCATTGCACACCAAGGTGGGAGTTGCCAGCATAGTCATTAACTTTTAAAGTCTCATAATTCTAGAAAACATTACGAACATTGGTGATGGGTTCTGGAATGAAAACGCAGGAAGTTAAACTAAAGTATATGCGCGGTTATTTGCATTAAGGTACTTCACCACAAGGTCATTTTAAACGATAAGTTAGTGACAGTCGAACGACATGGCGTCAGATATATAATAAAAATGTGCTAGTAACAAAAAAAGTGTGACTTTAATGTGATATCCTCTAATCTTAATACTCTGCGCTTATATACGTAGTTTTAATAATGGCTATATTTCTTCTTCACATTGAGGAATAATTGTGAATGATTGTAATAATGTGTTGATTGTAACCTTAAATAATATTACCTTTGATAATCATCAATATCTGCATTATAAAAATAGAAGAAACGCTAAAATTGGAAGTGCTAGCTCAAAAAAAATACAAAAATTGGGATATCACTTCGTTGTTTCGATACTTACATTTGACCTATGTATGCTGCAAGTTAAATAAACGCTTCAGGAAGTAAGGACAAAGCTAGAGAAGAGCCCTTTACATTATTGATTTGAACCATTTGGCGGCCGAGTCTAGATTTCAACGACCTCGCCTGGAGCTCGTGTGGACGGCGTGTGATGGGTGACATCGGTACGTCACGCTGTGAGCGACCAACGTCTCGTGAACAGATGGAGAGGGATTCTGTCACAAATAGAGTCCTCTCCCGTAACAGATGCATTTGTCAAATCGTTGATAATCATCCACCGATAACAACTATTTTCGATCACCTCTTCATCATTATAAGGAGGTATAAAAGAGGGGGCACACAATTATTATTAATTTGAAATTAATCTTACTGAGAATTGATGGAAATTCATTTTTAGGAAAATGAAAAAAACAAAACGTTTTCTTCTACAAATTAAAACAGAAGCGATTTCTAACGCCAACAATATTTTTCCACTTATAAAATGGTTGCTTCTATATGCCTCTTCATACTTTTTTCTGTATCAAAATGTAATTGATTACCTTATTTGGAGTAGTAAGTTCTTTAAATATCTATGCTTATATACAGATTTACTGTAAACTGCTGTACTCGTAGATAATATTACTAGTTAATTAGCTAAAGAAAATGGCGAAAGGCTCCCGAAACATTCTCAGCGGTCCGAAGCAATTGATAAAATGTATTGGGGAATATCGAATTATTTTCTAATCAATAATAATGTTTTCGTTTTTCGCATTAGATAAATATCATCACTCTTTGAAGACGACCAATGAAATGTATGAATTTTGACTTATTATTTCAAGACATTATGTTTTTTAACCACTTTAATTTTAATAGGTAAATGAAAATGATAATTATAAAGTTAAATTATTGCACTTTATCTTATAATACAATATAGATAAGCAATACAAATGAAGCAATACAATCAAACAACTCTGGGTATTGTGTTATTCACTTTGCTGTCTCTGACCAAACGTCGGGGAAAGTGTTATTTACTCCAAGAGTACAATGAATGAAGACAAATAAAACATATGACTAGTTTCATTCCCATGATAAAACGTTACTTTAGGCGAATTGTCAATAAATGTTTCCGCAAGTGTTTGCTGAATTCATGCTAGTATGCAAGTATCCTCAGATAAGATAGGAAACACAACTACGATCTTAAATTTGTTTAAACATGATTTGGGGCAGAAACTCAATTCATCATTGCAGTTATTACATACAATTTGTAATACGCGAAGGTATTCGCGCTATGTATTTATATCATTTTGTGAAAAATGAGATGCAGTCACACTCAGTTTTAACGTTAACACACGCGCGTTATCGCGCTGTTCGTATAAATAGAAACCTAAAAAAATCCCCCTCTCAATGCAAACAAAAATAGAGAATTTGCAATATTAAAATTCATAATAAATGTCAAGGATGCTTCACTAGTTCTGCCAATCAAGAATGAGTGAAGAGGATATTACCTGTTATCTCAATGCAGTGATTTTAAGCTTTTGAGGCTACTGATATCATTTCCTGAAACGCACTTGTTCATTTACAATCTATTTCCCTGAAATTCAACTTAAATTATTACCAAACAATAAAATGGTTTTAGAAACAATGAAACGTAACGCAAAGAAATGAGAAACCAAAATGTTACTATACGACAGTAAATTTTTTTCCTATACATCAATAAATCACCTGCTATACAATAAATATACAGTAAATTGACATAGTGTGCTTATTTATTGAAATTATTTAATATAATATACGACTAAAAATATCAATTTATGTAAAATTATTCATTAATGGCTATCTTTCTAATAAATTCAAAAATTGCAATTTCGTTTCTGAGAATGCTTGCTTTCAATTAACGTCGTTTTACAATATTTTTTACAATAAAACTCAGCCAAGTATAACAGAAAAAATTACGAGCATACAAAAATATGGAATATAAATATTTGGCATGAACGAAATGCACAGATTACTTACTGAAACCAAAGATTTCTTTTATACGAATTAAATAGACTTATTTACAAAAAAAACTATTAGAGGCTTAGAATACAGAGAAAAGTACTTGAACAACACAAGTTGGCCATCGATTCACCAAACTGAGTTATTGATCACAATGAAAACCCGATCTAGTATGAATCCGAAAAGCTTACGTTAGTACAAAGGTTTACTCAAAATAGAAGATTACAAAATTTATTATATTACAACAAACTCTCTAATCCTCCTGAGATAAACAACACATTTACAGTAGAATATGTTAGAATTATTTACTCATACATAGAAATGAAATGCATTCACCAGAAATCATAAATATTGAGTAGAGTAAGATTTTTAAGATTCGCTTTTAAACACAACATATCGCTCAAAGAAAAAAATATATTTAAAATATTTAATGATGCAAACAGAAATGGATTGCATTCAAAGTATTAAATAAAAATGTCAATATGATCTCCAGTCATTCATTTTGTAAACACTCCACTTGGCCCACTTCACTTCACAACGAAGTAATTCAGAATTTAGATATTGTTACCTGCAGGAAAAAACAGGACTTTCAACAGATTGTTCTAAAGGCACACGGAACTTTGCCAATTATCCACAGGAGAACAATCGTATCGATGATTTACCGGCATTTGACACAAACAAACTGAACAGAAAACGAACTGAAAAGGTACTTGATGAAAAGCAAGCGCGGAAACGGATTAAAGCAACTGCCGAAACAAGCGCGGTACGAATCGCGTGTACTCACTTGGTGGGCGCTGGTTGCAGCCGAAGGACCGACGGAAGGGGGAGCGCTGTACTTCGAATGCTGGTCGTGTGTGAGCTGACGTGCTCCACCGCCCTTATATAAGGCCTCGTCCGCCGCGCATGGCAGCGCCCCTGGCGGCCAGGTGCGCCGCGGCGGAAGGCGGCGGATGGCTTATCGCGCCTGCGGGAAGCGACGCGCGGTGCGGCGCGGCGACTCTCGTTGAGGCAGACAGCTGAAGACCCCTCTCGCAGGGGTTCTTGAAGGGGAGCATCGCGACAATAAATTTTATTTTTGATCATGACCGGCGTAGGTGGCTTACGGCATCAACTGATGTCATTGCAGTGCCTCTGACCAGGAGGGCCTAGGATTCCAGTCCCGACGGTGGCAGGGTTTTCGAAGGTTGTTTGGTTCATAGTTATTCCGGGCGCGCCAACTAACAAGGTGATTAGTCCCGTAAGTGTAGTGCGTGTTATTGTGTGTATGTGGGTGTGTCTGTGTGTGAGCGCACGCGAGTGTGTAACTAAATTGTGATGATAGGACAAGGAAGAGAAAGGAAAACTCTCGCGCGAGCAGTCCGTAAGCTGTTTGTTAGGGCGGTTGTAAGTACACGCGATTCATTCCGCGCTTGTTTCAGCAGATGCTTTAATCCATTTCCACGCTTGCTCCGGCATTCACCTGGTGTTGATCGGAGAAACAACGGAAAACTACCGTTCAGAGAAGCCGGCCTCTAGAATTCTCCTCCTGGTTTCTTCGAATGACACCAGGCGAATGCCAGAGCAGTAGCCTAACAATGGGACACGGACAGCGCGCGACATTTCCTTCCTTTTACTTGTCCTATACTTACACTCACATGCACTACACTATCACACATGCTGGGAGACCGGGCGGGAGTTTAGAACTTGTCCCGGCTGGGGCAGTGCCACGCTGGTGAGAGATACTCGGTTGGGGGAAAATCCCACCAGCCGTCGGATAGATAGGCGCCGGATCTCTCCAGTCAGCGGGGAAGATCACTGCCATCTCCTGTCTTGAAAACATGCACTGCACTTGCAAAACTAACGACCTTAGAATTTGACGCTCTGGGAATTACTAATCAATCAAATGATGCTGAAGTCTTTCCAGGCCAGAGCCATGCGACTTCCCCCAGCTGTCCGGGTGACTCCGCGTCAAAGGCTGTGATGCCGACGTTTCTACCTTGTTGCTGTCGTCGTCCTCAGGGCTGACGGGTGTCAGGATAGTGGACGCTCGGATTTATGTTCTTTGGCGATGTGACAGAGCAAGATCGTTAGATATTTTTCTTTTTTCTAGCAATTACAGGGTGCGCAAAACCTCCCTGCCGGCATATGCCGGTTGTGATGGATGTGGTAGCAAGGGACACACTCCCTTAAAGGCGACCCATCTGGTTAGGGGAGAGGACGATGATGAAGGTGGGAAAGGTATATGAAAGAAATACTCGTATCGCGCGCGGTGCATGGATCATTGTATAGAGTGCTACTCCGGCATTCGTCTGGAAGTGATCAAGGAAAAACTGACAAGAGCAGCCGGTCTAGGAATTTGATATCGACAAGCGCCAGAACTTACAAAGCGAAACACATCAAGCACATTTCTGGCTGGGACTCGTCCTGAAATCCTCAAATCACTGGTACGCTCGAGCCGGAGAGTTTGTTGACGTAAGTTGAGAAAACAAACGAATTAAAAAAAAGAAGATACCCATAAAATTGAGAAAACGCGTCGATTCTAATAATTGTAATTAATCTCTGCAATGAAGAACAGTTGTAAACAAAATAGTTTGTTCTATTTTTGTTTCCTTTGTTTATCACACGCGCACAATAACCTATGCAATATTGAAAAATAAAGTTAAAAGTCTTAATTTTTCGTTTATTAATTATCCTGACTACCTACAGAATTTTCTAGTTTTTATTACTTGAAGGGGTAACATAATGGAGAATGGAAACGAGATAAATCTATCATTTAACTGCGTAGGTCCATCACAGTATGTATGAGATTAGAAATTCGCTTACAGAAACAAAATGTAGGCGGTTATATTAACCAAAAATCGCTTAATCGCCATTCGTCTTATTTATTCATTTATTTTTCATTGATGAGGATGATGGTGAATGGTAGCAGGGAGGAACTTCTTACGCTTACGCTTTCCCCTAACCATTTCCTGAGCAGGTGATCAGTGGTTTGCCGTTGCCTTCCACTGAATGAAGGAAGATAGTGTTCATTTAAGGGGGAATGTCGATGACAGATGAATAATTTTGAATGTGATGATGGTTAAGGTGGGAACGTGTTGAATGTCATATGCCAACTGTGCTTCAAACGCATAGTGAAATATCGATTTCCCATCTCATTTGGATTTCAACGCGCTGATTTACTGTGTGCTTATAGGCTGCTCCAAGCCACTGCACCAGCAAGACCGTCTGTATGTCTTTGTTTTAAAAAATTGAGAAGAAATTACACGTTCACATCATCTCGGATGGTTCAGGGATCAACTGATGACTACCTAATAGTTATGTCGAATTCAGCCTCTATCTGGAGGACATTTCTAGTAGCTGACTGTTCTGACCATAATAATAATAATAATAATAATAATAATAATAATATTAAATGAGTTTATTGATAAGGCGAGGATCGGGACATTAGGATCGCTTTTCCCCTTAACTAAATGCCTGACATACAAATTAGTCTGAAAATGTAATAATCTAGAAATGTAAAAGAGGTATAGTCTAGAAGTAATAAGTAGTTAACATACTTTTATATTTATAGATTATGTGATGGGTAGTTTTTCGTGGTTTTCCCGATAAACGTCAGGTGAATGCTGGACCAGTACTATAATAAACGGACCACGGACTGAGCTAGATCTTCCCTTTCCTCTGCTTTGTCTTATCCTCATCCTTACACACACACACACACACATACACTTGCAGGTTCTGCACTACCACACATGTCGGGAGGCCAGTCAGGAGCTTAGTGCTTATCCCGGCTAGGGCGGCGTCCCGCTGGCTGGTTGGAGATACCTGGTCGGGGAAACCCGCGCAAGCCTATGTGAAGGCCGGCGCAAGATCTCTCCATCTAGTGGGGGAAGATCACCACCGCATCCCGCGATAAAACATGCACTACAATTACGGATCCATCAATTGACGCGCCCGGAAACACTAATGAATCACAGGCTTGCAGCGAACGTTCCGAATGCGAGCGAATTATTCCATCGCCCCATCAAGAACGTCAAGCACTTAGAAGTCCATCTTTGGCAAAACGAAGTGAAGAAAGAATGAGGAAATATGTAATGATCTGACTTAATTTTATATATTACAATTACGTAAAGAAAATACGCACATCTGACGCAGCTGAACTAGAATTGCAATGGTGTACAGTGACACCGCATTGTACTTCCGGTTGTCATACGTCTGCGTGATGGACTTCCAATTCCGGTTACTTCACGAACTGAACAAAGCATGTAGATGCGTGATTGAGAAAGAACACATCCCTTTCGGTACATTTTTCCAGTTCCTCCAGTTACCACCAGGGCTGTGTTGATATATTAACTCGTTAATCGAGGAATTTCTCAGTTAAAAAGTTGCCTCAGAACGAAGAATTGATTTTGTAAGAAAACGTACGTACGTACTAGTTGGTTGAGACCAATAATGCGAGAGCGAATCATTTCATCCTGCGTAATAGAGTAACTCGTTGACGTCTTATCTCGTTCCGCTCTACGCAATAACAAAAATTAATACGATTTATTACGAAGCGACATCTAACGCTCAAAGCAGCTGAATTGTTAAAACCAATTGACGTTACTTATAATATTGAACTTACCAATAATATTGAAATGGTGAATGTATTTACTCAGATTTAGTACGAACATAAAATAACTTTTGCAACTTAAATAACTGACGTTAACGATTTTAAATAGTTATAAAATATTACATAATTTTATTTAAGGAAATATTGGAGGACCCTATATGGTTAGTTTGCCTATGTGTTAATCTATTAATCCATTTCTAGTTACAATTTCATCAATGGCTAATTTACCACATACTGGGGAGAAATACTGGGAGGTGAATGCCCTCCACGAGCCAACGTGTAGATAGTCGCCAAATCTCACTTTGTAGCGTGGGGAATTTCGCCCCTCCCTGCTTATAACATGCAAACATGAAACACACTTATGGGGCTAATAATGGTAATAGTTAAAGTGCATAGAATCACTAAATAATCAATCAATCAAGAATGCAACCTTTCCACGTGTTCGAGAGGTGATTGGCTCCTCATACCATCATGCATCACATCTATAATACCATTGGATCCATAATCAATCAACGTTCATCAATCCGCTTTCACGATCTCTCAGTGATGGGCCTACCGTCTCTCAGCCTGTAAGTGTCGAAGGAAAACCACAACTGTTATCTTCTGTCAGAAGAAGGAAGTACAACGGTGTTAGGGTTAGACCTGAAAATTAGGAACATTTCACAAAAAATTGCCCAAAAATAAGGAATATTTAACCAAAGATAAGGGTCGTAATCAAAAATAATTTAAATGCAATAATTATCCATTGCTTTGCGTGTGGAGCACTTAATTAATTAATAATAATATTCTTGACTTACCTTCAATGTAAATTTGCATTGTATCAGACAAAGAAACAAGAAACAACAAATGTTTTTCTTCCAATATATTTGGAATTTGATCTTACTGCTTTTAATATTTTAGAATCTATTTTAATTTAATATTTCAGATGTGTGAAATTCTTTGCACACCATGTTCATGTTTATTGATATCATTAGTACATTACAAATAAAACCTGTTTCTAGTATCAGCTCATTTGATGATATAATATTAATGCAGAAATAATGTAACTCTAGGTTGAGTGAGGTTAAAATATACACACGACGAATCCTTGAATGCAATATCTGTCTGTACTTTTCGACGATTTTCGGTTCATTGGACTTATAACAGAGGACGTATATTTTATCACATAAAATATGTGACAGGTGGCAAACCTAAAATGCTTAAACCTCATTCTAAAAACACCCACAGACAATTAGTTTACACTAACCCTTCATAATACAAGGATCTTTTTATTAACATTGATGGAGAACTGAACTGATTTCTCCGACGATATTGATGGAATAGTGTAGCAAATATTGCAATTCATTTTCATTACCTTTTAGGTATTGTCTTTTAATTTACATATTATTCTCCGTGGCCACTAAGAACGGCGTTGTTTGGGCATCCAAAAGAGGAATGGCCGCGGCCACGAAG